GTGTTTGTTTGTTTATATCACTCAGTCTGTTCTTCTTCTCTTGGTGTATAAAAGGCAGTCTGTCTTCCGGTTGTTGCCTCTTTTGAATGACGAATACACACTACCGCTGCCTGCTGGTAAGGACAGTTATTGCCACTCGTCGACTGAAGTATTTGCGGTGTGTTCGTAGGCAGGCGGCGTAGCGGGCGACGTAGCCGACGCAGGCGACGTAGCCGACGCAGGCGACGAAGCCGACGCAGGCGACGAAGCTGACGTAAAAGTCGGGACGCCTTCGGTACGCGTTCTTTGGTCTCAGGTGGGTGTGTAGCGGCCTTAAGTCTATACCAGGGGTGGGCAAACTTTTTGGCTCGGGGGCCACTATGAGTTTTAAAATGTGTCAGACGGGCCGGGCCAGTAGCAGATCGGTGAAAAAATATTTAGCTGTCCACTCATTAAACACTCTGCACTCAATGTCGACTTTTCTTTTCTTTGGTCCACTCATTGTTACAGATGCAGGTTCAAAGGTGAATTATTGCGTCATCGTTTGCGTCATGACATAACCATTTACGTGCCTTTTTATGACCCACACGGCGTTTTACGTCGTTGATTTTCTCCGCAACACCGCTCACAACAACATCATTAGAGGACTGCGTCGGGTAGTTTTTAATCATACAAAGCTAGATTAAATTAAAGAACGACTTCTCCAACCATATACTTTTCTCCAGAGTGCTGTGGTTCATTGTTTATTAATGTGGTGCAGCTGCATTACTGCCTGCTGCAGTGCTGCTCGTCCACCGGAGTTTAGTCAACTGTTAACTCGTGGCAGCGGCCGCTGTAAAGTATTCACTGTCCGACTGTCACACAAGCAGCTGATAAATATCCGCCATCCCCATCAGTGAATGTGTTTCAGTCTGAATTGACGCTGTTTGGCATCACAACGCTGTTATGAAAGTTTCTCTGGCATTCTACAGGTGATGTTAGCATAGCAACCGAAGCTAATCAGACTATCTTGACTACTTGTTGCTATCATTTTGTGGCATAAGCCGTTTTCTACACGCATATTTTACCGGCGTAGTTTTCGTTATGATTTTACTTGTGATGGCCACATGTAGCCCATGTATTGATTCCATCCGATAGCTGCAATAATACAAAACAGGAAAACGTCTGCCTCTTCACAATGATCAATAACAGCGAACGGATGGTCATTAAAGTAAGGTAAAATAAACAGAATCACACTAAGCCTGGTTAGTGTTGCCTGACTTTATATAAGTGTTTTTAATAAGTGTGTGGTCGCGTTCTAGTCACTTTGCTCAGCGCTACTGCTTGGTACAACTTGTATTCGCTGTACTCGCCATGAACTGTTATTGCTCAGGTTAATCTCGACCCCCTCCAACGTAAACGTGACGTATTTGGTTCTTTGACCTTGCCGGGTTGCCGACTCCAGCAAAGGTCAATTGTGTCTTGAGTGCGCCATCTAGTGGGATCAACTGAAATGGCGGGTATTGCAGGAAAAAGGCAAAATGAATGCGGTCTTTACTATCATTTGGACAATTTTGTACCAATATTCAGCGGGCCGTATTAAAAAGCCCAACGGGCCGCATATGGCCCGCGGGCCTTAGTTTGCCCATGCCTGGTCTATACGATCCTGCAGTCCAGGAGAAAAAGTCAGATGAATTTGCATTAAGGGCGACATTTTTATGTTCGATTAAAACATTCGCCATAAGTCCACCACCCAAAGACGTGTTTAAACGTTCTGCAGGATGTGGTTTGTGTGTGGAAGACTGAGTGAGGCACTTCCTCACTTTCTCTCTCTGTGCCCTCTCTGTCTTTCTGTCTGTATCTGTGTTTGATTTTCACAGATGTCATATAATTTGATTTGCTCACTCAGGCAGGTCACCAGAAAAGATGCTGCGGGATCGGTTTCCTTGGCAACAGATCACAGGATCCAGATGGGATGCTGGGATAGAGAGATGCACTCTGAAGGAAAAAGTATGTCATCAAACGCATCAGGGCACTAAACCTGAACATCTGCACGTCCTTCTCTCCCTCTGTGAGTTCCTTTTTTTGTTTTGTTACAACAAAGTGTATAAAATGATGGCGATTCCACTATTACGTACAGAAAGGGAAGGAGCCACATGAAACCCAACCTGACGTTATTGATGCAGTCACTGTTACGACAGATTCCCTGTAATCTCTTTTCACAGAATATCAACTTCTTGATCAAACACATTACTGCTCACAGGCCTCAGGAAATGTTTGATATAGTTTGGCAGTAGATTTCTCAAAAAGATAAAATGACATTGAACATTATTATGCTCAAAAAGTTCACTCTGTGGTTTCGAGGTCAAAAGCTACCTGGCAGAATATGTAGTAAAAAAAAATGGGCTTCACTATAACCGGCGACAAAATTAGAGTAGTAAACACATTACTGCATCTATATAGCTCTAGTATACGGTTGGGTTGCAACCATTCTGAAATGTGTCATTCGGCATAATGAATACATTAATGCTTTAAGTTTTTTTTAGATCCTACAACTTCCACCACTGGTTGAGGATTGATCAGGCCTGAGGGCTTTGAATATCTCCAGGAAATAATTGTTTACTCTTTCCTGTTTTCACCAAAGTGGCTCATTTCCTGGCACGCATGACTCATGAGTCAATTGTCTGAATTCTGATTAAATGTGTTTCGTTTTTAGTCACATTGATCACAAAAGTTGAAATAGCTGTCACCAGAATGTGACCTCTATTTACCAGAATGTAATGTGAAAATACACTCCCCTCCATGAGGTCAGATGCGGTTTTAAAAACTCTAACTGGAAACACTTTATAGGAGAAGCATAAACGAGTAAGTAAATAAATAATAAAACAGTTTTTAGTTTGGATGTCAAAGCCAAAATGTATCTAGTTTGCACACATTAAGTTAAAGTGGACCTATCATGCTATATTTGAATAATATAGTGTAGGACCATACCTATATAAGGCATATTTATACTTTTTTTTTTTCAAAATACCAAACAGATCATGCATTTTAGCCATGCCTCATTTTGCTCAATTTGACCATTTCTAGCTCTGTTTTTGCAAGGGCAGATTCTGTGAGAACAGCACCATCTACTGGCCTGGCATATGTACTACAGCGTCTCCAGCGCTTTCGAACGGCAATGGCCGTGGCTGTCTCCTCCTGATTGGTGGAGTTGGCCCAATAGCCGTAGCGCCACCGTCCTGACGTCAGGACAGTGTTCAAATCTGGATCAGTTTTTATCAGATCCGTTGCAGCCCCTTTTTTAGAGATTTGGGTATGGATGAAAATAGAGGGGGTTGTGTTTTCTGACACTTGGTGAGTTCCCTGGAACACCGGGGACACATATTCATGTATAAAAGACGTACAAAAGTGCATTTTGCATGATAGGTCCCCTTTAAGGAATACATATTTGTGTCCGACATGGATTGTTATTTATATTCTACAGTTCACATAATTACATGCATGACAAAATACTAGAGAACCACCTTAAAGTGTTGAATTGAAAGGGTAGGTAAGACTTGAGTTTGATTGGGTAAAAAACCTAAACTCATAACTAATCCATCATCACTGCATATTTATTGCATTATAGCTGCTACTAAGGACACAGAGGCCATGTCCTCGAACTGGGAGCTAATTCCAGCTTTAAATATTTTAATTGACTACATTATGCAAAAATAATCCTTCTACAAATTTACAAATTGAATTTATTGTGTACCTGACTGACTGTAATATTTTTATGCTGGTACAGTATACAGTATAAACTGGGTCAGAAAATTCAGATTTGTGTATTACATTTCAAGATTACCAAACCACAGGGTATATTTTATAATCATGGTCTTACCCAGGATTGTTTGACCCTTTGAAAATTAATAAATACAGCTTTTTCTAAACTAGAACAAAATATCTTTATATTTTATGCTAAATGCTGAATTATCATACAAATCTGGGATCAAACTTGTGATCAAGCTTTCCAATTAAATGAAAACATGTAAAAAATACTAATAAAAAAAAAAAAAAGCATTCAAATGTGCACCCAGCCTGTTCACCAAGTGGATTTAGAAATGCCCTTGGCTCACTCGCATTTTTCTGGAGAACTTGTCAAATTCCAGACCGGGATTTAGGTGGGCTGTGAAGATTAGACATAGTTGATGAAGATTTAGTTGGTCTCCTCGTTTGTTTGCCACCCACTGAGCCGGTCTTATGATTTCTGCATGACCGGTCTTTGTATCTGAACTCCGTGCACATTGCCTTTTGTTCTCGCGCCCCCGGTGGGCAGCCGTCGGGCCAGCAGCAGCAGCAGCACAGAGCCTCCTTTCACCGGCACCGTTTGTTCCCCATCTCCGCTCCGTACTGTACGCTCGACCGAGCACGTCCACCCCCCCCCCCACACCCGGCACCCCCCAACCCCCTCATCTGAGCGGATATTGCATCTGCGCTGCTTTCACGGCCATTACGACATGAGAGCCCGAAGTTAATCAGCCGTTCTGGAAATTTTGCATGCGCTTTTTACGCACATGGGTATGACTGGGGAGCTTCCCTGCGCGTAATAGTTAAAAGAATAAGGCTGAGGCTGCAAGTGAACATGTACCACTTTTTATAAAGACAACAATGAAGGGGGGGCGAACATTTTTCTGAGCAAACACGTCTGATTGAAGATACAGAGGCTGACATTCACATAACGGTAAACAAACATTCATTTTAATAATGCGGTTTTGTCACTGTCAAACATGTGTTAATATTTTGATTATATTTCTATGTTATTATCACATGATTCGGGATTAAAGTAGCGTTCTGTACGTAATCAATCTTGTTTTAAACGAAATCCAGTTAATTAGAGCATCATCAAATAATATTGAAGTTTCTGCAGCCCATTGAGAAGGTGTTGTATTGATCAAAATGAGCAAAGCGACAGTAATTTAATTTGAACACAAGGAGTTACATCACTTTGTTCCTCATTTGATTTCATGATTAGTGAGAGCAGAAGAGGAGGGTGAACACGGAAGCAGAGGGTGGGGTTACTGTCATTTTGGATACTGACTCCTGTTGAATTCAGTGAGTGCCGAAAAGTGCTCCACTCTGCCTGATCCATTAGGTCTACTGGTCTATCGGTATGAACTTTATGAGAGTTCTTTAGATTGTTAAAACATGTGTTCTTTATCAAGTTACTGAATGTAATACATTATTCTTTTGTTTGTTTATTTTCAGGTTTTCTGAGGACTGTTTTCACAAAGGTGTGAGGTTGTGTGCATAAGGAATAAGAGGCATCCAAGAAGTTTTAAAAAAAACTTCCTGTAGTTTTCTTCATCTGAATCTTCTGTGAGCCGCAAAGATGGAGCGGATGCAGGACGAAAAGGTAACTGTTTCTTACTTCTATTGGTTCATGGGTTAGTGGTGTTCTGTTATTTTCCATGGGTTAGTGGTGTTCTGTTATTTTCCAAACTGTTTTACCTCTAAAATCCTGCACAGATGAGTTTGCCGTACATATTCTGAAGTATTCTTCTCGGGTACAAACACATTATAACAAGCTTTTTGTTATAATTCCCAGCAGTCCCAGAGGAAGAGCGCCAGTCCTTTTGGTTTGTTTCATTCTGAGCCTGTTTGGTGCCAAAACGTCCTCATTAAGAGTGTTTTTTAAAAGTAAGAGGAAAACCTGTATATTTCCATTCTGGCAGGGGCATGAAATGGGAGTGATATACGAGAATTCAGGAGATGACTAAGGCAGGGTGGCAAGTTTAGACTTGATCTGGTTTTGGTTCTTACTTCATCTGCATGTCCCTTAGAAAGGCATGAGGGAATCGTACCAGTCATATGAAGAAAGAACTGTAAAAGTGCAGCAAAGACTGACAACTTGCAACAGTCCAAATATAGTTAACACTTTAGTGATACCATGCTACACAGTTAGTGTTATCACTCAAATGGTGAACTTTGAATTGATTGCATTACATCTTTTAGTATTGTAAAGAGTATCTAAAAAGACCAAAATGTGCCTGCTATCTGCCCTCACAAACCTTCCCTGTGGTTTGGCTTTTGAAACAAGCAGTTACACACATTTCATGGCTGTTTCTTAAGGTGTACACATCATGTGTGTTGATGCAACTACCCCCCCACCAAGCCACAAAAAAGGCATGCACTCTAAAAAGTCATTCTTAAAAATTATAGCACAAAATTAGTGTAACCAAAAATGTAAAAAATAAAATAAATATCTTTCCTTTTTGATGAAATTATACTAATAAATGATACTGCAGAAAAGGTGAAATGGAACTGCTGCAAAAGTCACATTAATGATGAAGACACATACGAAAGTTCGATGCAATATTAAAACATAGGGAGAAAGAAAACTGACTTTCTAAAACGGCCATGCGAGATATTTTGAATAAACACAGAGAATGGGATGAAGATTAACACAAGTTAAATGTGTCATTTGAGTGTCGAAGAAAAGGTGTGTCAATAATGAGTCTTTCTTCCAGATTTCGAGAGCGATGATTAATAATGACACAATGAACCAAACCAAGTACATGAAAACACAACTTTATGAGAATTAAGCATTGGACAAATATAACCTTAATATTACATCCCTTTTAGAAGCGGTCTTTTAGCTTTTTATAATATTTCATGCTATTCATAAGCATCACGTCATTGAATTGTGCATGTACAAATATGTATATACTTTAACCACTTGTAAACGTAATTGTATTTGTATTGGTTATGGTAACATATTGATCATAACTTTTTTTAAAGCAGAATGTCATGTTGCTACAACAAAAAACTGTATATTGTAGTACACGGTTGCAGAAAATGATTATATGCTTGGCTTATACTCCTTAGTGTGCAATGTGAACAAATGCAGGAAATTGTGCAATTATTCACAGCATGCTGGTACAACCTCTTAATCTGCCGTATTCAATTCTTAAAGTACCTATAATGCACATTGCGCAGTGGGCCACTCCCTAATTAGAATAATTGTTCTAGCTAGAGGCTTAACAATGCGAATGTTTTGTCTAAGTCTTACTCAACATCAGCATGTCACTACAGATGCAATTGGCATGTCTACATCCACACACATTTGTACAACCACACCCCCACATGCAGTTATCCTCATCAAATCCCCTCTCGTGCACCCTCTACACCCCAGAGACCCCTCCAGGTCATCTGTGCCAAAAGTCAAACATGAAATGGAATTTGTTGTTATATGTTATATGTAATTATTTATCACTTTTGTGTTTCTCCCTTTAAATGTAACTGTTTTCTTTATTACCAGTCCTCTTTATTACCAGTCCTCTTTATTTCCCCTTCACTATCAAATAATCGTGCTTGCAGCACTTCCTGTGTGTCAAACCGTCAAGAAGTAGAAGTATACACAGAAGTATATTCGGCTTGATTTAGTGTAAGAATATGAGACAAGGCCATGATGTCCCAGAGAAACACGCAGTCACCTGATTACAACTGATTATCACTATCTGCTTATGTGTTGCTGTTCACGGAGTAATTTTTCAATTCCTCCTTTGTGTTTCATTCTGACCTGTGGGTGGGTTTACCTGATAGAAACAGATAGAAACATGATGTACTTAAAGCCCATTGTTGGTAGTTTTGTTATCAATAAGGAAGCCTGAGTTCTCAGCAAATCAAATAGTTGATCAGATTAAAGGACAGAGGGTTTGTTTCTAGAGGGGGAGACTCTTTCAACTGCCTCTTGATTTCCCTCAATGAACGTACTGTTTTGTGACGTTTGAGTTATCTGTGCAGATAGTTATATCATGTAAACATTGGGACAGAGCTCATTGTGCCTGTCTTTCTGTCTGTTTCCTGACTTAATTAGGATTACAAGTTGTGTAAAACAATGTATTAACTTGCATCATGAATTATTCACTCATGTTATAGTGTCGAAACAGGGGCGGATTTGGAAAACACTGGATGATTAAAATGGATTTCCTTTCATTAATGAGCCTGTCTGGACCAGTAGACTTGGAAAGCAAATAATGACCTTTGTAGAGGTTCCCAGAAAGCTGTTGTAATGCAGTTAACGTAAAGAGATGTAGTAACTAGGTTCCTTATTTGGCATGGTGCCGCCACATAGTAGACTTGGAACCACAACTTCACTTAAACCCACTCAGTTCTGCTCTGTTGGAATTGTAAAAAAATGCAAACTCCTACATGCCGTGCCACACGAGGGATTATTGTCAGGTGTATTAGCTTGTTATTATGAGCTAAGCCCACTTTAATTTGAACCCTGCAGGGAAAAGCACTCACAATAGGATTCATTTATTCTCTCGGGGTTTCTTTAGCTTCTTAGCTGAGAAATACCTCAGAGCTGCAAATCATGGATCCTGTGCAGTGTTGCGAAACCTAGCTTTCACAGTGCTGCAAGTGACAGAAAACTGAAAACAGGGACTCATTGTGTTTGTAGTTACCAGTGTCAATATAAACAACAGGAGCTTTGTAGAGCCAGGGACAGGACATGTCCACCACACAAACTGAGGGGGGGATTGTCCATAAACTCCATCCGCTCATTGTTTTAATCCTTCATATTGCTCATGACATTTTCTCTCTCAACAGCCGCCGAAGAAGGTGACCTTATACCTGCTCTTCAGCGTTTCAACAGCTGTCATCGGCTCGCTACAGTTTGGCTACAACACCGGGGTCATAAACGCACCAGAGCAGGTGTGTGTGTGTGTGTGTGTGTGTGTTGAATTGTGTAATAGACCTTTAATGTTTTATGACAGCGGGGACAACTATTATGAGAGAGATTAATAATAGATGCCATTTTATATCTTCTCCCTTTTTTGGGATATTAATATTGTAATAACTTAAATAGACACTTAACGCCAATTCTGGGCCTCGTTTTAGGACTTTCATGTTGCTGTTCGGATGTGGTTTTGCAAAGAGGCCTAGATACAGTTAGGGTGCTAGACATGATAAGACTGCTCTCATTTGTGACCACAACATTGCAAGGTGGCAATGCTAAAAGCTATACTGCCCTCATGTGGATGTGTCAAAAACTCCCAATGAAGCATGAGCTCTGACATCAGTTACACACAAAATGAATAGTTTTGATTGTGAACTTAGACAAACACCTACTTCGATGCAGCCATTCATCACTCTTTTTCTGTGGGTTGACAGAAACTGCGTAGGTTTTTCCAGAATGTGTCGATGGAGCGGCACGGGGAGCCCTTCAGCCCAGGAGCCAACACCATGGTGTGGAGCTTTGCAGTCGCCATCTTCAGCGTGGGAGGCATGGTCGGGTCCTTCTCTGTCGGAGCCGTTGTCACCAAATTTGGCAGGTAAGAACATCGGGAGTAAACAGTATGGTGCAGTAAATGGTTTCATGTATGATGACAGTTAATCAACCGAACCCTTACTAGTTTTTAAATACACCTTTCCTTATTGTAAACTCCACAACTTTTCTGCCCATCTCCGCTGCTACTGCACTGAAACTGTACTTTGAACACTTTAAATATATTATTGACTTTTTAAACTGTATACACCGGTTATCTAGGCCCTTTTTGTTTTGTTTTATGTATACATGTCACACTGTAGGACTGCGGGAAACGATATTTCGATATTTCTGGATGTATAACACATGTAGAATTTTTGACAATAAAGCTGACTTTGACAATTTAGTTTTAAAGCCTATCTTTGGTTTTGGACTGTTTGTTTGACAAAATCAGACGTGAAAACTTCTCCTATGAGTCTGTGAAATTGTGATGGAAAAGTTTGCATTATATTTAATTGGTCAACATAATCTGCAGTACTCACCCACTAACCATGTCCTTCTTCCCTCATTGTCTCTCTTCTTCAGGCGTAAGTCCATGCTATTTGCTAACATCCTGGCTATCATCGGGGGGGGTTTCATGGGACTGTCGGCCCTGGCTCGTTCTTACGAGATGGTCATCGTGGGCCGGTTGATCATCGGTGTGTTCTGCGGTCTCTGCACGGGGCTGACACCCATGTACGTGGGTGAGATTGCCCCCACTGCTCTCCGAGGAGCCTTCGGCACGCTGCATCAGCTGGGTGTGGTGATTGGCATCCTGGTGGCACAGGTATGATGTGGTGATTACGTTACTGAGATACTTTTGTTTTTTATTTAGTTTGTGCAAAAGCTCTGGATTTCTGCAGAAAAACGTGAACTTGTGAATCAGCTTTGCTTGAAGAATTCAAGCAAGTGCCTCAAAATCAAATAAATAAATCACACTTCACACTATTATTTTTCACCTCATAAATGTTTTTCAAAACTTTTATAAGAGTTAGATGCTGTCATGTGACCTACAGATCATCATAAGGACACATTACGGACAAGAAACAACATTATCAGCTCTCTTTTAGTACAAATATTGTTTTTAAATAATATTTTTAGTCTGTTGGGAAGCTGTACAATATATAAACGTATAATTAGCTAATAATATTACAAGCATCTTTTCAGATTATACTGTAGAAATAGAACATATCCCTTTTTAAAGTATTATTTTAACCATATTTTTCAGAGCATAGTATACTCAAATCTCTCCCATCTCTTAGTGTTTATTATAATATCAATGTAATATAATAAAACTAGGAACAGAAACTACTACAAAAAAGTGATTTGACTTTATCAAAGATTAAGCCATGCAAGTCTAAGTACACACGGCCGGTACAGTGAAACTGCAAATGGCTCATTAAATCTGGCTGTGTCTGCACAGTCCTGGAGAAGAGCTGCGAGGCTCAACTCATTATAAGTACTTCATCCCGTGTTATTGATGCATTTCAGGTCTTTGGTCTGGAGTTTCTGCTCGGCTCAGACTTTCTGTGGCCTCTGCTGCTGGCTCTCACCATCCTGCCGGCCATCGTGCAGAGCATCCTGCTGCCATTCTGTCCTGAAAGCCCCCGCTACCTGCTGATCGTCCTCAACCAGGAGGAGGAGGCCAGGAAAGGTCGGTTTTGAGACGTTATGCAAATAAGATTGCGACATCAGGTTTTAATGAGACTGAATTCAGAATTGCTCTTGAAATTTTAATGAACCTTAGATGAAGCGCGGCCCTGCGATTTATTAAAGTTTTACAACATAATGTTCTAAGACCCTTCCAGCCTTACTTTACACCATATTTGCACAATAATGTACTTACTCCCTCTCCTTTCATCCATCCCTTCTTCTCTCTGTAGCCATGGTGCGTCTGCGCGGCTGTGAGGATGTGAGCGATGATATTAATGAGATGAAGGAAGAAGGGAAGAAGATGGCCTTGGAGAAGAAAGTGACCATCCCTGAACTCTTCCGCTCCCCAAACTACCGCCAACCAATCATCATAGCCATAATCCTGCAGCTCTCCCAGCAGCTGTCTGGTATCAACGCTGTGAGTAAACACCATATCCTGTCAGGGAGCAGAGTGTTATAGATATCATTATATGATAAATGTCAGTCCATGTCATCACTTGCATAAATCTCTAAAGGAGCTGAAATGATACAAATGTGTCTGACACGCACATGACGAGAGACGCTACTCTGCCCCAGGCAATGTTCGATTGAGCGGAATAATTTAAGCCAGTGGGGTCATTGGTAAGAGACAAACAAAGTGGTATTTGATAGGTTTTTGTTAATAAGGTCATGTCACCAGGCTGACTGAGTGTGTTAGCGTCCCCCCCCCCTCTGACCTGACAATCAACAGTAAAGCTGCGGCAGCCCCCGGCTAAAGGCTGCAACATCGATTTAACTGACAGATATTCAACATTCATGACCCCGCCCACTCATCAGCAGCTAGTAGCACCAACTGTACTAAGCTCTATGTAATGGAACACATGACTAGGTGTAATGTGAAAGAGGTTGCTTGAAGTCACAAACCTGATGTAACTATAACCCAACTCTGCAAATCCTCGGAAGTTTACATAGCATTTTAGGGTCAGTTAGCTCACTATTTTTGTTTTATGGCCCACAACCTAAATCGAAAAGTACAAAAATCATCTGCTCCCAAATCCAAAACTTGAGAGCCATCAACTGTAGCCATATCTTTGATATCATGAGACCCCTCACACCACAGCCACCCTATTGTTCTCCACCCTCCCCTCAGGCAGGCTCAGAACCACATGGACCCACAGGCTAATAAAAAGCTTTTCCCCCAGAGCCGTGGACAGGCTGCTGAGCCCATTTCCCCAAAAACAACTAGCACCCTAAGAGCAATTCCTCACCTAACCTAAGTTGTAATGAAAAAGACTACCCTTATTTTTCTTTACTCATACTAATAACTCTTCGTCTTTCTCTCCTATTAGGTGTTCTATTATTCTACAGGTATATTTGACACAGCTGGTGTCACTCAACCCATCTACGCCACCATAGGAGCTGGAGTTGTCAACACCGTGTTTACTGTAGTTTCCGTAAGTGTCTGACTAAACATTTGTTCTTTAGATAAAAGGCGTGGTTTACATTATTATTAATAATTGTATTAACAATTTCTTTGTTTTAAATCCAGCTCTTCCTGGTTGAACGGGCGGGGCGAAGGACCTTGCATCTGATTGGTCTGGCAGGAATGGCTTTCTTTGCCCTCATTATGACGATCTCCCTGGTTTTGGTGGTAAGTGATGTTTGCTTGCTACCTCTTGTTCTGTGAGCTTAAGAAAACAACATCTTCTTGTACTCACTCTTTGTTTCTCTGTCTGAGCAGAAGACCCACCCGTCCCTGAGCTACCTGGCCATCGTGGCTGTGTTCGGCTTTGTTGCCAGTTTTGAGATGGGTCCAGGTCCAATCCCCTGGTTCATCGTGGCTGAGCTCTTCTCCCAGGGGCCCCGGCCTGCTGCCATGGCCGTCTCCGGTCTATCCAACTGGACCGCCAACTTCCTCGTGGGGCTGGGATTCCCTAAACTTGAGGTAAGGGAAACATTTACGTCTTTTACTTGTATTGACATCAAGATACACTTAATGTAGAGCCACCTAAGGTAAAAGTAGACATAATGCATAAGGGCTCATACCATGAAAATATATATTATTGGAGAAAATAATGAATACATAACATTTTTCATCACTAAAATATTGCAGGTGGTAGAGTTGGTAACTGGCAACAGTTATTAACAGATTATAGTGATGTAAAAACAAGAATATTTCCCTCTGATAGTATAATGGATTAGGAGAAGAAAGTACGTAAATCTCAAAAAGTACTTGAGTAAATGTACTTAGTTACTTCCCATCACTGCAAACATTTTCAGAAGTATGTGCAGTTTGAGTCATGTAGTTACACACCTCTCTCTCTTCCTCCCTCAGGAACTTTGTGGTCCTTACGTCTTCATCATCTTCATGGTCCTCCTCATCGTGTTCTTCATCTTCACCTTCCTGCGAGTACCTGAGACCAGAGGCAGGACCTTTGACGACATTGCTCAGGGATTCGCTGCCAGCGCAGGAAAACCCTCCGCGGTTCCTGAGCCGATGGCCGTCGGCCTGACCGAGGGAAAAGAAGGTCCTCCAACCTCCCCCACAAGCAAGGTCCCCATGGTGGATCTTCCTTAGAAAGAAGAAGTAAAAGAAATCCGGACACAACACAGACAAAAGGTTTTAAACACATAGATATAAGGAGCTATATTTCATAACACACAAACAGTGAAAAAGCAGTAAGGAAGGTTTCAAGCATTAAAGGTTCCCTCGTCACAAACATGCTTTAATAATTGACAGAATTCCCTGTAATCCTGTTTTAAACATGGGCCAAACTTAACTGAATTACTAGTACTTAATAATAGTTGACATTCCCATTGCCAGCCCCACGCATACTGCCATATAAGAGGATTAACATATGTTCAGCCTTAAGTCCCAGGTCTTCAGCTACCCCCATGTTAAAAGGTTGTGGGATTTGGGGGGGTTTATGTATTGAGGTCAAGCTTGAAAAGCTGGTTTTGGATCCTGGTAGTTTGACCCAAAAAAGAACGACTGACTTGCTGTCCTGTCTGCATGCCTGATGTGCCTTGCTGCCTGGGGGAGGGAGCCATGTTGTCTTAAGTAGACAGAATGAGTATAGAGGTGTTACAGCAGCCCCTCTCCCATTTAAGTGTGCAAAAAAGCACTATAAACTTAGAATAAAAATATTTAAGCATGTAGCAGAATATAAATATGTATTATCATCCTGTAGCACAACATCTCATGAGAGTAAAGGGTGTTTGTGTTGGTGTGTTGTTTGAAATTATAGAAATAATTAAGACAGGTCTGTACAGCTGTCTGTATGAACCACGTTGTTGAGGTGTAGGCTAACTGTCAGGCCTTAAAAAGTCTGCTCATAGGCTTTCTGCTCCTAAAAAACACAACCTAACCTGTTTTCAATGATTTCAGCCAGTATTTTGTAGTGCAGTCGTTTACAGTAAGCATTACAACCTTAGGATAAAAAACTCACGTGGCTACATTTATCATCACTGTACTTGAAACTCTCTTGACATCAGTATGAAGCAGTAACTTCTGCATCCTAGGCTAACAACATCATCATATTGCCATCTCTAAAATAGCGTTACATTAAATCAAGTGCTCATCAGTGTTATACAGTAATTTGTGGTAAATGTTTTGTATTGAAACACTTTAAAATCAACTGATAACAACAATACGCATCTAACATGAAAGATATTAGATATTGGAAAATATTACATTGATGATATTAACCAAGAGGTATAGTAATGTTGAGTAATAACACTAAATGAATTGTATTTATTTTAGTAGTTAACGCACAAAAAATGCCTTATTGATTGTTGTTCTTTCTAATTTTCTGAAATGATGTACATAAATATTGTAGAATCTTCAGTAACTGAATCAGGATAAACTATTACAACATAATATACATGCTTATATATGTTGTGTCAATGTTTGTACAGTTGTACTTCTTCTTGGATGCGCGCACACTCATATGGAAAACATTTTCAATGTTTGAGCTTAGCAGCATTTTATCTGCACTTTGGCAGTCGGACTACTTTGTAATAATTGTTTATATTGTGCGTTTCTCTGTAAATATAATGTATGCATTAGGATGTTTGGTTGTGCCTCATAATCCTGTCTAATCTGCTACATTTACTGATTTGTCTTGCACTGTCACTATGGTGGATGTCACTGTGTTGCTTAATGGTAATGGTAAGTCAGGAGTGTTAGAGCTTGAGTGTGCGTGAGAGTCACAGTATCATAATGTACGCCTGCAGTAATAATATTAGTGACTTGCTTTGAGAAACTAAAAAAGGAAATAAAGTTGTCCATCTTTAAGGGAATGTGTGACTTGAATTATGAGCATAAAAAGCCCTTTTTACTGTCTGTAATGCTCGAGTCAAAGCAATGAATGTTTAATGTGATTGCAATCTCTGTGCTAAAGTGAGAGTGTGATTACTGTGGCAACTCCATTTCCTTTTCTGCACCGCGGCTAAACCTCAGTCAGCTGTGCTGTTATACACTGTAGAGCTAACCAAACCTCAGAAACATTGAAATAAAGCCATAAGTTAAAGAACAGAGTTCTGTTTCTCTCTGCGGCTGCTGCTGCTGAACAGTTTGGTTTAAGAAGAAATGTATTCATGGTTGTGATGACGCTTTTAAGGAGTGAATGCGGGAGGAGCTTTGAGGTCAGATTTTGTCTTGGATCACACAGCTTCAAAAGCCAAACCAGAACACATGTAGAGACGCAAGATAATAATTACCTCAAAGAGGAATTCCCCTGAAAAGACGTACTAACATTGCTGCTTCTAAAATTACAGGTCGTGGCTGTTGTTTTATGAGGGAAGTGGTAAGTGAGATACTGTTCAATTCATTTCTTTAGGAAGGACACCAAAAGAAACTAATGTCTTAACAAAATGATTTATAATTGGTTCCTAGGGCACATGGTGACAAAATAACCGTACAAAACCTAAAGTTTACTGGAGCTGATGAGTCGAGTAATCAACTTTTTGGGGGGGTTTTGGACTGACGGAACACTTTTCTTTCCTAATATGTTACAAAGCTTCTATTGGATGCTATAGAAAATATGAGTTAGTTGCAGCCTTAATTTCCCAATAAGAGGAGTGGGAAAAAATATCACATTTGTGATGCTGGAACCAGTAGTGTTTGTCCATATTTCCTTTAAAGAAATGAAGTAATAGATTGAGCAAAAGTTAATGATAAACGGATGAATCAATCTTTCACTTCAGCTCTAAAAAAACAGACACTTTTTATATAAAGTGGCACAGGGAATATGTGCTTTCAGGACCAACTGAAAACTGATTACGAAGTTTTAAGTCCCGGCTTAATGACGGGAGGACCGGCGTGATCCATTTGCCTCTCCACTCTGCTTCTTGGAGCAAAGAGCCCAGGGTAAAGGCCCCCGGCTGGCTGGGAATGGGGCCATCTAATTGTGTCAAGCCAATAGGCAACATCTCCCTGCAAAAGTCTACTGAAGTCTCACTCAATGCAGTGAACTGGGGCATGAAAGCCCATCAACAAGCTGCAGTACTGCGGTCTGACCAGCGAGTGGCGTGCATGAGCCAGAGGGGCTCAGCTCTGTATTTGCATGCCTGTGTGTGAGTGCGTGTCTAGAAACTGTCTGGATGAGCAATCCTGGGAGGCGAGGAGTGTGTCGAGAGACGGAGGGGAAAGGAGGAGGAGGAGGGTGTTAGGAAGAGGCAGGGTGGAGGGCATCCAAAAATGTGTCCAAATGATATTCATTTTCCATAAAAGGTAGAACAGAGGGATCCAAAAACAAAAAAAGGAAAATAAATTGGGCACTCTCACATGCCACAGCTTGAAAAATGCAAGTTAGCACAGTGTCCAGATATTTGAGGGATGCCACAGTTTGATGCAGTCTGCCAGGCGGCCCGCTGAATTTGGTGTGAGGCGTTAGGGGAGAGCTGGAAGTGATGTCGTTAGACATGTCTAGACAGTTGTTTTAAAGACTGGACTAACTAGTTTATTAATTTTTCCACCTCCCTTTCCCATTGACACTTTTTCTTGTTAACTCTCTCTCCTTCTTTGTCTCTCTCTCGAATATAAAAAACTCTCACTCTCACTCTTTCTCTCTCCCCTCGTTTCTCTGACAACAGTGTTTTGTTTACTTCTCTGTTGGCACTGTGCTTATTGTATGTGCTGCTCTGTAAATATTTTTTGCCTTTCCTCATCCATCCTCCCCCTCTCTTTCTCTCTCTCCCTCTCTCAGATAAAGGGAGCAAATAGACTCCACCCCCTCTCTCACCCCCTGCTCCCTCTCTCTCTCTCGCTCACTCTGTCACACACACTCACTCTATCTACTTCTTTCATGCTCTCTCCCTCCCTCTCTCTGTCAGTGTCATTCTGTCGTGGAGATGTGGAGTGTCTTTCTGTCTCTCTGTCTGTTTTTCCAGCCTAACTCAGCTGAGGAAGGTAAGAATTTAACTTTTACTTTATTTTGAAAATTGCGTGTGTGTGTGTGTGTGTGTGTGTGTGAGTGTGTGTGTGTGTGTGTGTGTGTGCACGCGCAAGGGTAGCAGGACTGGGAGTTTGCACAGCGCTCCCATCATGTGCTCATAATAAGCCCACAAGTGAAGGATGGACACTTGGTATGCTTCTGTTAAAGAGCTCTAAGAATGTCGCTCTCTGGGAATGCTGGGTACTTTGGCAAATCTGTGAAACTGTGGCACGAAAGGCCCAAACACCACGAGAAAGTCTGATTCATTCTAAAATGTTATGGGACCCACCTACAGCTTGGGAGCCTCTGAATAATTACCACTTTTCCCCCTTACTACTACCGCCCTGTGTGCATTAGTTTGTGTGTGTTGTGTCTGAGTGCATCTGTATGTTTGCATGTGTTTATGCAGATGCTTGCGTGTGCCACTGTGGAAGCACTTCAGATAGGACTTAGTTGGCATGGAAGTGCCAGGTGCATGCCGCGGCCTAACAAGCTCTGCCAACAAAAGAATATGGAAATTAGGTGGGAGACAAATGAATAATAACTTGCATAACTTGTTTCTCTTTGCCTATGTATTTGGCACCCCCTCCCGGGCCTTCAAGTCACTCATAATCTCACAGATGTGACAGCACGAGACCCCTGTCCCCTCTCCGGTACTGTTATCAGTGCCCCTTATGTCTCCACAACCTCCTCAATGAATGTGTTTGCAGTTAACGATACACACTTTGTGGAAATGTCTTAAAAAGTGCAGGAGTGAGTGAGCGAGTCTGGAAAAGCTGAATTAACTCCATCTATTAAGTGGATGTTCAGATCAGAGTGGGCTGACATTAATTTGATGACTCAAACTGTCTTGAAGTGTGTATGTGTGTAGCTGTGTGAGTGTGTATTCTTATGTGTCTGCCTATACATAGCTCCTGCTCCTACATCCTCTATCCAACACTTGAGAGGGTTTCAGCAGTCAGCACGCAAATTATTTTCAAAGGAATTGACTGCACGATGGAAAGAGCTGCACCTGTTCACGCTCATCTCCCATTGGCTTTAGTTTACTGCGAGGTGTGTGTCAGTAATAGTCTATAACAGAGGTAACTTATATGTCAGCCTCATACCACAGATTTGAGCTGTGTTTGTAACAGATGGCCTGGACTAAGATGAGACAGAATGATAGAGAGGGAGAGAGGCGGCCCAGCGTTAGTGGCCTACTGACTCTGTTTGTGTAATTGAAATAGAGCTCCTCATAATACAGTATTAACCCAATAGCATGACCGTCCGTCCATATAAATCCACATAAATTGAAACATCTAGTTATGTCACGAAGGGAGCATCTGCCTCAGCTTTCACCGCTGTAGAAGTCTGTCTGGACTGACTAGCTATCTGATATGATTGCTGTCTGTCTTAAAATTGTTTATTGTCTGTCTACTGGATCCACCACTCACAACCTCCTTTCTTGTATGCTTTCACACCACAAACCATGAATAAGTTGAATTTTTGCTGTTAAGAGTATAAAAGATCTGCCGAGTGTTTGAGTGACAGGGTGCGATGTATCGCTCTAACTAGCTGCCTGTAAGTGTTGAAGCAGTCGCCCACATGCATTGTTGATATGAAGTACTGATATGAAACCACATGGTGCACCTCTTAATTGTTGGGTCAGTGTCTAGGATTGCATGTTCACATTGCATGTTCACATTGCATTAACACACCGCTCTGAAGGGAAGGGCTGTGCAGAAGGCACACCTGATGCCCCTCCAGCACTTCCCGTCATGGATGAGTAAATTAATAGTGATGCTCACTGAGCTATGCATATCCTCAAATTAACCTTGTATCATTAGTGGAGCTTATGTCATGCCCTGAAAAGGAAATTAAATTAGATTTCGCCAAAAGGCAACAGTCTGCACAAACTGTAGACTAAAATGTTTACCAGTTACAAAACTGATTTAATGTTGTATGACTTTCTCTGTATAAAAGTCTGGAGAAAAGTTGGTTGTGAAAAGTAGGCTACTGCACTTGAATTGACTCAGAGAGGATATTGTGCTTTTTTATATTAATTTAATTTATCTGATTTTGTAGTGTTATTAAACCAATGGTTTCCAGTGTTGGGCAAGCTAGCCAACCAATACATTAGTTAGCTTTTTTACACATAAGGCCATATTAATTGAAAAGGTTAACGTGCACTTTACTCATAACTAACGCTGAGCAGCAAAACTAAGTAACGCGTTACATTACTTGTTTTATAACTTCCGTTACTTCCCAGCACCGTAAATGATGTAAAATCACCTGTTGTGTAACAATTAAAAACAAAACACAAATATGTTGCTTTGAAACATAAAAACAAAGACATTGTGTTTTGACAAGTAGTCAAACAATTTTAAGATTCACTTACCATCCAGCAACTAGCCTAGTCCCGGTGACTGCACACACAAACCCCGAGGAGTCCGGACTTCAGCTTCACGGTTATACCGCCTTAAATGTTGAACAAACCTTGGTAAGTAATTCCTGACAGTAGGCATACCCGTGGCTAACGTTATTAAGAAAGCGAAGAACATATAAGTTATAACATATAAATAGGTAAACTGTATAATTACCAGGATTCGCATTTCGCAAGGTTTAGGCTGAAGCTAACCGTCTCAAGTGTCAAGTGTCAAGCCAGCACCACCGGAACCGTCTATCACCTGAAGGCAAAGAGGCCAAACTGATATTAAACACCACCAATACATTTTCAGGAAATTCAATTGGAAACGGAAGATAAAAAGACAGTGGTGTAACTCAAGTTCTGTAACAATTTCCCAAATTGGGATCAATAAAGTACCATCTTATCTTATCTTATCTTATTAGGTACACTTTTGAGGGACTTTGCTTGAGTATTTCAACTTTTTTCTACTTTGTACTTCTACCTAACTAGGGTCAATTGTGTACTTTTACTTCACTACATGTAGGCCTCTAAGTATACTCTAAAATGAATGTATTACCTAAGATTCACAAGCAAATGCAGGCAGCAGCAGACAAAGTAATTAAAATTGACTGCACCTTTACCAGCTTTGATAACACTTTAATGCATCAATAATTATAATTCAAACATATAATATTATTCTGAAATTGGCCAATCTGCATAATGGGTACTTTTACTTCGGGCACTTTAAGTATATTGGAATCTCATACTTTTGTACTTTTACTTGAGTTACATTTTGATTGCAGGAGTTTTACTTGTAACAGAGTAAACTACACTCTGGTAGTTCTACTTTTACTCAAGTAAAATATCTGCGTACCTCTTCCACCTCTGGAAAAAGAAAACAAAAAATCAGCTCTAAACCCACACAAGAATTATATTTTATCAGTTAAGGTAAAATATTTTGCATAGAGACTTTTGCATTTAATAGTGAAATATAGATCCACTATTGACAACAATATTTGAAAGTTTAAAAAAATCTGATTATGTATAGGCCTATTGGCTGCTAGTAAATGAAATAAAATACAAACATGAAACTTAAACAATGCTGATATTATATTTGTAGGTATCATTGCAACCATTGGCCTACTAAAAGTTGGCCTTTTCGGATTGAAAGATCAACCTCCTAGTGCTCTCTGGTGGACACACTTTGTTATGAAGGAACGGAGTTACCTCAAACCCATTTTGGCAGTACAAATTTTGAGCAATGTTGACATTCTCACTTTAAGGTCATTCAGACCATCCGTAGTGGCGTCGATTGTTTCTGGCTTACTGGATATGAATTAAGGCAGATTACTATCCTTGATCCTGGGTGTTGTAAGCCGCCTTCTCAGGACATGATGAATTAGAGAAAGTGTGATAAGAAAATAAATGGCATGCTTCTCACAGTGGGAGTGCAGCAGGACGGATGCCACTAACAGCCCTGAAAAGCTTCCTGTCTGTCCCTCCTGAATATGCACCGAGCTGCAGAAAGAGAGAAATCACATGCTGGTGTGAAGTGGAGTAGGCAGCATCCCCATAATTTACACAGCAAGACTACACTGTGACCAGGCGTTATTTTTAGCAGTGTTTTTTTGCATATAATTTTAAAAAGCAACATAATTTTCGAAGGGCCGTTGGGAACTCTATAATTCCTCAAATGACTCACATACGTATCTGCCATTTGAGATACCAGAGATTGACGCTTGATGCTTTGAGTCAGTCAGTGTCAAGGCAGATAGTGTCACAGACAATACGCCTGTGCAGACAGGCAATGAGTTTGGGCCAAAATGTAATTGAAAGATGAACATGTGGCATGGACTGCTGGGACACAGGAATGTAGTATGGCGTTTTGAATTTCATATTAAATCTGCACTTGGCAGTCTGCGTGTTGGCAAAGGACTAAACAGCGTTAGATCAAAGGTTGATTGTTAAAGGATCAGTATTCAGAATGACACAATGAGATTACAGTGAACTGATCTCCTCAGATTTACATTCCTTCTTCTTAGTGGCTGTTAAGGGTGGAGATGGTAATGAAAATATGTTTGTAGCAGGTTTTGTGACTGGAGAATTCAGTGGAACCGTTTGTATTTTTGGGCCTTAAGTTTTGATTTTATATTTCTGTTATGCACACATGACTTTTATCCAGCACATTTTTGTCTTATTACATTTGAGTTCTTTCTTCACAAATCCAAGCATTACTGGGTCTCAAATACATCACAAGTATGTGTCTAAAATGTTTTCCTGTAATCAAAGAAGAGAGTGATGTCAAGGAATGTACATGAACGTATTTGGGTAATATGTTTAATCGCAGATAATTACATGAGACTGATACCACTCTAACAACAACTGCACATAAAGAATGTAAACTGGAAAAAGATATAGCCTGACTATAACAAAATCTGCCTTCAGCTTTAATCCCCACTGATCAACATGTTGGATCTAATTTGTTTGTTTCGAAAATATTCTGGCACACGACACCCAGTTAAACTTCAAATGGTCGTTTTTACATTTCTGTATTTTTATATGGATAAACAAACAATCTGTAGCACGTTT